AATGTTTCTACGCACACGCTCAAAAGCATAATTAAGTTGTCTTTTCGCCAGACTAAAAAAATTTTGCAGTTTTGTAGTATTTCTCTAGATTTAAAGACACTTTCTGTTTGTTACTTTTCTTCTTGTCTGACAATGTCTATCTGGTAAAAAAAACTATCATAGAGGAAAAAACAGATTCTACGCTTATTACTTCGCCGGCAGATCAACCGACTTCGTCGACAACAGGCTCGAGCTTTCCAACGACGCTAGTTTCCACATACAGCACTACAACACTGACCTCTGCATCTGACACAACAGTTTTTCAAAGCACAACGACAGCTTCGACAACGACAACTCCGACAACACGTACAACAAGAAATCCTCCAACAAGTTCTTCTACAATCACCACCGCCACCTCTACCCCGACAACTAAAGTAACAACAAGTACTACAGCAACGCCTGAAGCAACAGCAAAAACAACTACAAGTACTGTTATATTATATTGTAATTATAATTTAATAACGCTCGTTTGTGAAGTATTATTGCATAAGTTATGAAATCAAACAAAGCGTATACAATCATTCAAGTAAGAAGCAGCGTTTGCAGCATAGAAAATCATTTAAGATAAAAATCACTCTCAGCAAAATTTTTGTTATCAAGTTGTTATATGCATTAAACTTTATATAACTGTTACTGAGTTGATAAAAATCAAGAAACACGCAAAAAGTTAGTTGCAGAGCAGAAGTTAGTTGCATTTACGTCTTCTTCATGATACATGATGATGACAAACTTTTTCAATTTTTTCAAAGTCTTATTTAGAGTCTACTACAAATAAGTGCAGCTACCAAAATTTGCTTTTATAAAACCAAATTTTTTCCACCTCATTTACTCAATAAATGACAATTATAAAGAACATTTCATTTTGCGCACTCTTTTTACTGTTTTAACTCGGTTACTTCCTGGAAAATGTCTCTGATTCAACATTTAATTCTTCATCCTGTTCACTTTTAAAGTCGTTGCTTTTTTATCGTCGGGATATTCTATTAGTGTAGAACCGAACTCCAAAAGCGTGCTAAGTCAAAATCTTGTTTTTCCTTAATTAAGTTGCTGAATAAAATCACTACAATAGCTGTAACGTTAGCTACAGTTTAG